GAAACTCGACTCAAAGTGGCATGGCCCTTATTACATTCATGATGTGAGACCAAACGGAACTTACAAGTTAAGGACCTTAGAGGGAAAACTTCGGAAAAAAGTTGTCCACGCAGACCAGATTCGCTCATATTATGAAAGAACGATTACTAATTAATAGCGTGAGAAGAGACCAGCCAAAAGACATTTAAATAGCCGTGACTCTTCAAAGGACGAAAAATGACAGTTATCATGGAAACCTTCTCCGAAAAGTTCAAAGGACAACTGAAGGCTCTCTTACAATTGTGGTTAAAGGAAAAAGGGGAGTATGAAGAGTTTCACATCACCCCAACGAATTTGTTGCTTTCTGATGCCGAAAGAATCTTTTCTATTGATTTTAAGACGATTCTAGACTACGATGAACAAAGCGAAATCGTGCATCGTTGTAAGATAGACCTTCATCACCTGACAAATTACGAGTATCAAAGACCGAATTATCTTGGAGGGAACGAAGATGAACTATTGAGGAAATTAACCCGAATGATACGACAGACCACCTTCCGACAGAAAAGCGTTCACGAAAGATTAGAGGTCTATTATTATTTAGGCGAGCTCTTGTCTCTTCGAGGATGGACGAAGAAGGACTATGGAATCCTTCAAGAACAAGTTGGACAACGATTCGCTAAAGATGTTAAGAAAACTTCTCGGAGAGTTTACGAACTCTTCGCGATAAGAGGAGTCCAATGTCTGACTAAAGTCGCCTACATTTGCCCGACGTGTTTAACTAAAATGAGTGAAGGAGACTTTTATGACGAATTATTACCGGAAGCTCGACGAATAATGCGCGAAACCTTGTAGAAGGTTCGCAGGGGCTCACCCTTCTTCAGGGGGTAATGTCACGGGAATTTTTTATATAGTTATTCTTATATGATTTATTTTTTTATAGTATATTTTATTTATTTATTTATTTATTTATATTTAGTTTATTTTATTTTTATTTGATATAGTTTATTTATATAGTATAGTTTATTTTATTTATATAGTTTATTTATACAATTTATATATATAGTTTATAGGAAATGTGGCGTATGGCTTGGTGGGAATCAATTATGGCTGTGATGGGCGATTCGTACAATGGACGATTTGACCGGAAAACGAGTTGTACTTTGGACGATTTGAATAACGGGCGAGTTGGCCAAAGCACTAATCGTCCCAAATTTTGAATAATATTTAAGGGAAGAAATTCCGCTGAGGTTTCGGGGAAGTGATTTTTCGATTATTAACACTTAGATAGAACCTTGGGAATATTACAGAGCGCCGGCAGAGGCAGTAATATTAGGAAATTCTTTTGTAATTGTTAATAAAGAACCCGCCGATCACTCCAATTTTATACATTTCGTTATTGTTTTTATTGTCAATTTTATTTCCGATTGTTATACATTCAATAAATATACATTGTTTATAAATCTATTGCTAATTGTTGATAAACCCTACCCATTTCCTCACGATTTATTGCCGATTACTGCCTATTGTTAGTCAAATTCTATAAATTAACCCGTATATATTTCTGTTACTGCCCTCCCGAACTACACAAATCGGTGGTAACAATGACAACCTCGCAAAATCGGATTTTCTCAAAACGGCAATAAGCGCCGACTAAATATTGAATTTTGTTCTAAAAGAAAAATTTCTCTTTTTCCTGAATTTAATTAAAAAGCTGACAATTTTTCGTATTATTTATAATTATGAAAGTTTCGTATTTTCTAATTTAATTCGACTTTAATATTTATACTGCCATTTAAATTCATTACTAGGAAACGGAAACCATTATATAAAACTGGAGCGCGAAATATTTTACTATTAGTAATAAGTTTTGCGAAGCAAGATGGTTAATTTATTTTTTTTTAGAATTGAAAATACGTTTAAATAATGTTTTGATTAGGCGTAACACGATGTAAACCCGGGAAAATAATTTTTCCACTCTAATATATAATTAAAACAATTAAAAACAGATTTAGTAAAGCTTAGCAGTGCGTTTCTGAAAAGATTTTTTTTTTAGGTTCATAACGATAATTAATTTCGTCTTTGTAAATCGTAAGTGATTGTTAAAAAATATAATTTGTGTCCCTTCTAATAACACTGGTAACATTTGTTCAGAAATCTTCTGCAAAAAAATTTTAGACATCGTTAAACGTCCCAGATAAAAAAATATTCGGATTATTACTAATTCGTAATCATAAAATTTAATTAGTGAGTTCAATTATATATAGGTAATTTTATTAGTAACACGAAAATCTGCAGTCCCAGCAAGTTTTAGGGATATTAATGTGAACAATTGGTAAAGACATTTGAATTTTTGGAATTTGAATATATGTTTCTAACTGTTCGTAAACTTTATTCTTCTCTTCTAATTTTTAAATTGAAATTAGGCAAAGTAATCATTTTTTCATTTCTCCTAGTTATAGAGTGCTTTCGCCTTGAAAAAGAATGTTGGCACCAACTCGGTAATATTACATTTCACATTAAACGAACTTTCTTTTTTGTGCTTTTATAGTATCGGGAATAAGTTAATGATAACACGAAGCTACAGTTGTTGATCAATATTATAATGACAATGGGGTGATATGCAATCACATAAATGATAGTATTAAACAACCACAGCATCAAGTTGATTCCAATCATTTTCAACTTCAACGATAAAACTATATTTGATACAATCAAAATGTTGTTTCTTATTTTGTATATATGAATTAAATCAAGATACAAACTTATTTTTTTAACTGTTAAGTAATATATTTTATTTTATCAGAATTTATTATCTGTTATGATAACTCAAAAAAAAAAAAAAAAAAANAAAAAAAAAAAAAAAAAAATAAGGATTAATCGAAAGAAAAAATTTGAATTAGCATATGAAAATTATTGAACCTTTTAAATTTTCAAATTAAGAATTGGTTAATACCGTAGTTATGAATTATTGTTAATAAAACCGTATAACTAAGATTTTTTATGTCGTTTGAAAGAAAGAAATAAATAAAAGGATTTTAAAATTTTAGTTTTTGAGGTTTTTAAGTCTCACCACGTGAAATTTTGAAATGTAGTTAACTATTTACGACATACATCAAATTAAAAGCAAGTGCATATACTACATGTATTTAACACTTTCCCACTTTCGTGACGGGTAATTCCATAAGTCATTACACGTAAAAGAAAAAAAATATTTTTTTATTTAAAAAATAGGCTCTATATTATCATATATCATCATATAAAATAAATATTACAAAATAACATATATAATAAAACTATACTAAATCTTAATGTAAACATACGGCAAAAATTGCTTTAATTGACGAATTTGTAACCACCTTAAGAAGTAATCGGTACACAAAATAAACAACCAATCAGAAAGACAAAACGGTTTGTTAGGTTTCAGGTAGAAATTTTATTGGTTAATATTAAAAAAAGGTTTATTATCAACGTAAAAATGATCATTCTTTAATCTAATTGGAAACTTTAATAATCCATTATAAGTGCTGAATGAAAAAATTGTATAAATGATTTTCAAGATTTTGTTTAAGTTCTCTAGAAAATTCTACATATTCTTGCTGCTGTTGATATGTACCTTGTTTAATTTCAATATTTTGAATATTTTTATTATTTAAATATTGAACAATTAATGAATGTGAAATTAATTCACATGTTATTTTGTAACATTTCTTTTCGTCAACTTTAAGAAAATAATATTCATGCAAATTATTTTGATAATTGTTACCGTTTAAAAGGTCAAATACAAGTTCAAAAGAAATGATAATTTCCCTGCAAGTTATTTTGTAAATTTGGATGTCATTAGGAGGATTATAAAAGAACGAATATTCGTTCAAGTTTGAATTATTAGATGATACACGAGGGATTGGTCTTGAAATATAACTTGGAGTCATTGGTTGCGTGCTTACGTTGGTATTATCATATTGTTGATGAGTAGATGAATGTGAAGTAGAAATGGGCGAAAGATAAAAGTTTGAATCATTTGGAACTTGAGTTGGATCCATACTTGAAAGCGTTATTTAATTTCTTGATCACCTTAGTGAATTACTTGGTCATTTTATAGTGTTTTGAAATTATTTAGATCTATAACGTTTATTCCGGAGTTTCGGAATACTGAAGGCACAGTAGTTTTTTTTCGCAGTGTACCGAAAAAAAATGCATGAAAATAATAATTGCGCCAGCAAATTTTCATCACGAAGCATTTAAACTTGTTACTGATTTGTCAATAATTTTGCAGATTAACTCCTCGAAATCAAACTTCTAATTACGGTAGTATGCAAAGAACCGAAAGAAGTCGTATTACAAACAAAAATAAATTTGAGGCGTAATGGCTAATGATAAGATAGTCAAATTAATTTAGATAACGAAGTGTCATTAATGATAGGTAATTTCAAAATTTTAATTATTAATATCTTATTAATATCGCTTTGTTAAATTTCCATTTCCGTCGTCGTACTTGAAAGTTTTTTCGCTTTCTCACACTAATTTGTTTACTGTAATGACAGTTACTCTTATCAAAGATTGAAAAAAAAAAATTGATAACGAATTCTTGAAAAAAAATTTTTTTTTTCCTATCGCTATTGTTTAAAATAAATATTTATGGATCTCTGATAACGTAAATTTGATTATTTGATTGATTAACAAAATAACTCTGATTAATATTGTCATTATTGTCATTATGTCGAGAAGCTTTATTATATAAATTTCTTGGCAAAAATTGAAAGAATTAAAAATAGAGTCAACATTAACGAATAATCAATTCATGTTTCACAATTAGAATTTTTTGCCAAATCAATCTTTACCGATTCGGAATTACAAAATTCACTATGTCATCACAGCATGTACAGTAAATATTGTAACTTTATTAAACAAAAACAAAAGGACGAAAAGGACAATACAGTAAAGCTAAAAATCTAAAAACTACATGTATGGAGTTTTCCTGTTAAGCAATATGATATAGCCCATAATGATCCTGGGTTACCAGATATCTATATACCTCACTATACCTTTGACTATTACTAAATCCTAAAAAAATTTTATTTGTGTTTCGTTTTCTCCTTTTTCGCATAATTACACAGCACACTGGATTAAATTTATTATTTAACCAATTAATAACTAATTATTAAAATTTAATATTCTAGAAAAATAATTCACATATATGTAAATACAATATGTGAAGGTATGAACATTAAAACTTCAATAGTTAATAAGCAGGAAAAATTAGCAGAAATCATTCGTAATTAATTATTGCTATAAGAGGCAAATATGCTGGAAACGCAACGATTGCAAAGCTTAATGCGAAATAATTGAATGTGAATTACAGTATACTTGCATTATGAACGACAATCAATGCTTGATAGTTCGCTCAATCTTAATTATCAATCAATATGTTCGTCGTACTGCTACTTGTTATTATAATATCGAATTTTTTCTAGATACTGAGAACGAAAATAAAATGATTTTCTTTCGTAAATGTATAGTGAGAGAACAAATTATTTTTATTAATAAATAAAATTACAAAGTCTAAACAATATATAAATAATATTCATATTAATAAAATGCCCCAATCAGAGTATATAATGTCAAAAAAAAATGACTTTTTCGATACGAAACTTTATTTGCAAGGACGTATGGGTACTTTTTTTTAAAAAAAAAATATTTCTAAGAAAATGATTAAACTTATTTAGGACTCAATAAATAGGTAATAAGAACTCATTTATTATTAGTTCTACGCAACTCTTTGGGTGGAGTTGCGTAATGTCGCCTGGCATTATCCAAAAAAAGAAGGAGCTACACATTGCATCATATTGTTTACCTTTTTAAATATTGTCCAGAATTGAAACTTACTTTGTACATAAAGGAAAGGTTAAGTTTAATAGTCAATAATAATGATAATAAAACGAAAATAAGCACGAACTTACCAAAATATTCGCAGCATAAATTGATTGTTCTTCTTACTTATATCTGGAATATATTTTAAACGGTAAACGATCGTTTTACTTTGTAGCTTACATTAGTTATTATATTTTACTCTATGTATTTTTTTTTTTTTTTTTTAAATAAAATATATGTAATTTGGGCTACGTATGGATTCTACCAGCTATAAAAATAAAAATCAAAAAATTTCTCCAGATTTTTTTCATTTCTTAGTTTGGGAGGAAACTTTAGATATACAATGCTGCATAACATCCGATTAAATCTAATTAAATCTGAAGATTGATAAGACGTAATACAGATTAACATCAAACTGATAGATAATATTGCATACTTATCATTTATCATTTATTAAATTTCCATTTTAGTCTTTCTATAAATCTGTTTTGGATGATAATCAAAATAACAATTTGTATTTCTTCTGATTACTATTGATGTTCTAAAAATAAAAAATTGATAACAAAATCTTAATAATTACAATAGTAAAATTTTTTCTTCTTATTTAATATATAGAGAATAATAATTAATTATTGACCTGATAACATTGTGTTCCAGATTTGAAAAAACGATAATCATTTGTTATAAATTCTATTGTGTATTCACTATATTCTTTTTTTCGTAAGTTCCATTATGCATTATGCATAATGATATAATGATAACTCATGTTTTAAATGCTAATGGGAAGAAATTTAATTTCTTCTTGGAAGAAATTAAAAAGTAAATTGTCATTTATACTTGGGAAAAGTGAACATTTGCCGAATTATTAAGATTGTTAAGGTTTCAAAAAATCATTATTGTAGGTATATAACGGTGTATTGTTATAATGGCGTAGTTAGCCGAAAAACGGAGCTGAATTCCTGATTGCCGATCATCCGGACTCGTCCTGTAATTATATGACGATCCTGCGGCTAATTATTTTTCGGCTAAATACAACTACCCCAGCCGCACCGGCAAAAATTTTGCACACAGGGCCGCATTACAGCGTTATGCACTAAAATAAACTGTGACAAATAATGGGTGACGAATAATTTTTTACCTACTCGAAAAAAAAACTGTCCCTCAGATAATTATAAACAGTGAAACTCAGACGGGGTGTGACGATGTGATTAATTAAAAGCAATCACGTGACTGTACAAAAATTGCCGGTGAGTTGCTAAATACACCATTATACTAATTATATGATTGTGACATAGCGACAGCATATTTTGTGTTTCCTTATTTTGGAAACAGATAAAAAAGACGCCAATATATGCAACTGGGTGCGCAACCTTATTATCGTCGGTAGTAACTTCTTAAACTTGTAAAAAATGTGGCTATATTTGAGTTTCTATAATGATACTTTTACAAGACCAGTAATAAACAAATAACTAAAGTCAAAATAGGTTTTGATCTAAATCTTTCTTCTACTCCAAGAAATTCGAGAAGTAGTTTTTTGCAAATAAAGACAAAGCCCAGAATGTCCCAAAATATGTTAGAATGTGAAAAAACCGAACAAAATGGTTTTTTTCATGTCTCGGAACGCTTTCCGCTCTATTTCTCTTTTATGTGACGTATATTCAACCATCGAATTCAGAATTTTCTCTCTCTTTATAATTCCGAGAATAAATAAAGTTTATTTTCATGACTTAAAAAAAACGAGGAGATAAAACTAATCTGTGTCTATAATTTGTCCAAATCTTTCGATCAATTAAATAAGTTTTCTTTGTAACAATGTTCCAAATCTTATTTTTATATAAACTTTTTTATATGAATGAATATCTGCGCCATAAAAATACTGCGGAGTAACAATTGGGGAAACAAAACAAAAAAAAATACATTTTGCATTTTTTTTTGTGATGATCATTTTCTAAAAAAGAAACAATATAAAAGTGGAAGTTTGCATGTCTTAAATTTAATTTTTAATATAATCACATAATTACAAAAAATCCTAATCTTACATAATTAATCTAAGCTTAATACAAATCAACTTACTGTTATTAGCCATAATAATCTTATTTCAAAATCTCTTATTTGATAATAGTATATAATTTTAACATAATTATCTTAATTATTAATATCTATTAATTTTAACATTTGTTCTATGTAAATGAAATAAATGAAATGAAAAAAAAAATTTACTTTTTAAAATTATTATCGAAAAAATCTTGGCAATTAACTCGAGGAGTGAAACTATGATAACTTTCAATCCTAATTACGCCTTGATGAGATATATAATTATCGTTTGGTAAGGTACCGTTATTATAGTCTTGATTAATATCCATTGTTGAAACGTGCGTTATATTGTCCCCATTTCCATGAAGAGGATGTCTCATTTCTTTCTCAGGAATGTTGTGGTGTGAAAAATCAGTTAAGTCAACCTGCTGCGATGGATTAACAATATGATTATAATTTACACCTTGGTGAATAATATTAATATGATTATTGCATGACAAATCGTCGACGTTATTAATATAATCTTGGTTAGTATCCATTGTTGAAATGACTTGTCTTGTTACCACATTATTCATATTATTTTCGAATGAATTTGTATTTGCATTATAGCATGGATCCGTTTCCCTGTGATGTTGAAGAACTTGTTGATGATGATCTCCAGCTCCATTTATATCTTGAAGGGATAATCCATTGTTTAAATTGTTTTGATAATCGGTCTCTTGTGCTGGCGTATGATATTGCGAAAAGTGAGAAGAAAGAATTCTTTCCAAGCCTTCCTGAAGGCAAAATTTCTGATTTAAAGATAATGATTCTCTTTGTTGTACATAATTTATGTTAATATCCATTCCAAATACTTCTTTATTCAATATATTCTCAATCAAAGAATGAGAATATAATTTACAAGTAATATGATATTTTACTGTAAGATTCTTGTAAAAGAAATTATGATCATAAATTCCATTATCATCATTATCATCAGTATCATGTAAAATCTTTTTACAATTTACAAGATAAAAATTACCGTCACCCGGCGTATGAAAAAATTTACATTCATTCATCTTGTGATGATTGAGTTTTTGATAGTCTATAGGTTATTTTTTAGGTATAAATAAATTTGAAACGAAAATCGAAATAATGTAAGAAGTAGATTCTCGAAAATTAAAACATGAGTTGTTATATTTTATGTTGTTTGCTGTAGGTTTATCCGTTTATTTGAAATTTACGATCAGTATGGCGATTAAAAAATATATATATATTTTTTTTTTCCAAACAAAAAGATTCTGACAGAAAAAAAAATTGGAAAGACGTGCGTACTTTTTTAACTATAAATATTATATATTTTTGTAATCAATCAAATCAATCAAAAGTTACCTAACCTTAAATGATAAGGCTCAAAAAAAATGGAAATTAAAATAGTGTACAGTAAATAGTACAACACGACACGAATACCAAAATTCATTCATTTCTATAAGAATATTATATCTATTTAATGTCATAGCCGCATAACATTTCGTTTATAGATAATATTAAAGATAATATTAATAATAGTAATAGAAAGATTCAAAAATGCATATTACGTACGACATAAAATTCTACTGTCGTGACATCGTTTTACCAGTGTCAAAAATGCTAAAATAATAGGATAAAAGGATAACATATTGTACCCATAAAAGATACAATGATTAGTGAAATTAAAAAAAAGGGGGTCTACTCCCATGTATATATGTTTCAAATCAGATGCATGATTTCGTATTTCGTTTCATCCTTAAAAAGATATCCAATAATATTATTTATGACGAAATCAAAAATAGCAGCAGTACAACACACAGACTTTGTCGATCATTTCACCTCTTTAGATAAAATTTCGATTAAGGAATAATAGAATAATAACAATAGTATTTAATCTGTGAATATTAATGAAATACAAGAAAAAATTTTTTTTTTATCATTTGATATATCAGTAAGTAGCTGTAAAAGATTTGTACGTCACTCAACTTTTATTTTATATATATATATATATATATCACATGATTATTAACAATTACTTTCTTTACAATTAAAATTGAATTAATGTTCAAGACTGTTGATTAATGAAATATCTTCAAATATAAAGCGTTGTTTCCTGATCTTAGATTATAATAATATTCTTAATAATTGGAAGTGTGATATAATTACATATTATCGTTTAGCTTTTTTTTAGTTCATATTGAGAGTTAAAAAAGTTTGTGTATTAGTTTTAAAAAAAATTATATGTAAAAGTTTAAAAAAAGTTTAAAAAGTTTATATAAATGTATAAATAAGTTTATTTTAAGTGGTTGTTTTATTTTTTTATTCTACTTAACTTAAATTATCGTATGATCATATATGGATTATTGTATGCCTGCATAAAATAAATGGATAGGATGTTCAATATGAATGCTATGTGGCTAAATGATAAGATAATCTAAAATACATAGTGGCCTGTACAGTTATTTTAAGCTATATAAATTTTATATTCTATTCTAAATACTATTTGTCGATTTTCGGATATTAAAACACTGACTAATAAATTATGTAATTAGGTTATAAAAACAATGAATAAAATTTAAGTTTCAATTAATTATTACGGTAATTAAATTCTTTTTATTCTTTTCATGTGTATGTGTCGGCTGATTCGAGTAATTCCATGTAATTCTGTAGTTTCTTCTTACAAACCACGTACAATGTCTGCCGTGCAACGCAAAACGAAACGATGAAAAATACGGAGTATAATAACAATACATTTATGTGTAACTCATCGTAAGTCTCACATTCCAAAAACAGGAGCATAATAAAAATAGAATCTAATATTCATAATATTAACTTAGAGGTCTTGTTTATCAAATACACTTGAAAGCAATTACCATGTGGAAATAAATATAAATATTTTATTGGCTATTAGTAAATATATATTTTTGGAATGTTTATTATTTGTTTATTTTTAGATAAAACAACAAAGATACACTTCTGGTCATCTTTCATAAATTCTCTCCTCCAGGTATGGTAATAAATTCTTACCGTACCAAGTATACCATAATTTGTTTTCGTCATTGTGTAAAAAACCAAAAATTACACGTCACGTCGTCACGTGCCATGTACATATATGTACGGTAGCATTTTAGGGTGTTCTCTCATTGTATGTGTGCTTTAGTGTTGCCTGCCGTAATAGGCAACCCTTGATTCACAATCATTTAATTATAATAATAGTAAATTAGAATTCAATACTGTAATGTTTACAACCATTTGCAACTTCCTTACAAAAAAGGAATTCTGGAAACTGTCCTCATTGTCAAAACAATATCTGGCACAATTCGGTGTATTCATATTTCGGTATAGTTTCCGGACGTTTCTGGTTCACCCGGACATTCTTGCTACAAATTTCGGATATCTTTTTAACTTATGTTTATAATATTACAACCACTTGATTTACGGGTTCGCTATAGTCGAAGTTGAGGTTGCAATCTAGTTGTAATCCGAAATGTCGTAGTTATTTATTACTTACAACTAGTAACCATAGTGGACGAGACTCACGGGAGCATCCTGTAGAAAGAAGTCCTGATGAAGAATGGGATTATAGAATAGTTTATTTATCAATAGTTAGTAACATTTTATACGCATTCACACTTAGTTATTATGTAACATATGCCTATTATAAATATTATAGTATATCTTTCTTACTGTATATACGAGTCTTGCAGAATACTTCATAGTTGCCTTATGTTTCATCCTCTCAAGGATGTCCAAACTAAAAATACATCCTATGGTCTACGACTATATCTACGCCCAAAATGCGTTTTCATGAGCCAAACCTCATCGCTTATTACTTTAATATTATATATCTTTATACCAAACCCAATAATGTCATCCTCCAATCACACAAAAAACGGTTTACCCAACTAACTTAACATTGTAGGCTTCGTAGTTGTTATAACTACTACAATCAAATTTATCCCGTTCGTCAAATTTTACATAACACATATATTTTACTCCCAAGTCAACCACTAGATAAAATTAAATTAGCACACAAAATACCCTTTTATGTTCTTTGGTTATGTACAATTACCTTTGTTAATTAGCCAACCCTTCAGCTCGTTACAATCTCGTTTCTACACAAATGGATCTGTCCAAGGCCTCACAATTCCGAATTGGATCCAAATCTTCTTCAACAAAGGCTGGAAAGATGACAATTGCTGTGGCATTATTCAAATGTCCACCAATAGCATAATACAGATTTCAACGGTCTCTCAAACTCATTTTCACACATGTATCACATGTAACCTCATTAGCGAATATCAAAGACAATAATCCATTTATAACACTAGAAAACTTAAGGCTATACCAATGATCCTAATAATGACTTAACGGACAGATTGGAAAAGGAAAAATATAACTCCAATATCCCGTCCAAAATTCCTCCCAACTTCACTGACCTACGCTTTATGGAAAAGTTTAGGAATAAAAAATGTTAGAAAATACCCATCTAATTCAATTCTATAGGAAATAATAATAAATCATTAGCATCATTTGGTCATTTACGGTAGACAAATCAGTTAGCTGCCCAAAAAATGGCTTTCATGCACGACTACATTGCCAGCAATCACAGCAAAATCTAGAAAAATACTCAAACGTAACTACTCTGAAATATATAAAATGGACATCATACCAACTCCTTTATATAAAAATTACAGGACATGTTTATGCAGGATATGTGAAAATTCTCCCGCAACACAAACTGATATCACACAAAATTCTTCAGGAAACGCAAAGTTTTTGATCTGCTGATTCCATCAACAAGCAAGTTATCAATTTCTCTCGTCCTTACCTCCACACCTAACATACTCATAGCAGACCTAACATATTTAATTTTACATTACTTTGTTGCTTCAGAATTAAGTAAAATATTCAAACTCAAGACAACATAAAACTCTTTCTCCACAATCTAATACGTGATCACGTAATAGCAAGATAAAACAATGAGAACTTTTACCAAATGCTGAAACAGAAATTCTTCAAAAATTACCTATACAAACATAAACACAATAGAAATAACACGTTTATGTTCATGACACATATAGGAACTGATAGAAGAATGAATCACACTATTTATACCAAACATCATTCCAAACTCATCCTAAATCAAATAAACATCTAGTTATTCTTTTATATTTCTTATTTTTTTGTTTCTTTTGTTTCTTTCTTTCATAAATGGGTAGAACTAGTCTTTTCGTAATTGTCGTTAGATATCATAATAAATAGTAGTAACAGAATCAAAAGATTGGTGAAGCGATAATACTTTAAGACGTACGATTTACATTAGCGAATAGATTATATTTAATTTAAGTATTTAGCTACTGGGATTCAACAACATTGTAAAGTAACTAATATAAAATATAATAAAATAATAAAAATGATAATATGCAAAGTAAATATAGTGAACATTTATCAAATAGATAACCAACAAAATCGATAAATAATAGGAGAAACTGGTGCTGTACCCGCAACAAGTAATGAATTATTGTAATTGACCAAAAAAATGTGAGAAATTAGAATCGTTTTTCCAGTATGCCTTTCTTGATTGTTCCAAGTTTATATATATTTTTCGTTGGAGATTTACCTTTCGGTTCTTTCCTTTTTTATGAGTCAGGCTTAATTTCTTAAGATTTTATAAAATATAGCAGATAGTGTTTCTCAAAAAAAAAAAAAAAAAAAAAAAAAATTATTATGCTAATGTACCAGAATACACTATTTCAAACAAACTAGCGATTCGTCCATTATCCGGGCAGCTTTCTATATTTGCATCCTCCAATTATTTGCTTTCCTTCAAACTAATATCTTGTTCTGTATATAATATATATATATAATCCAATGTTTACTGTTGAAATAAATAGGCTTATTTAACTTGGCACATTTTTACAAAAACAAAAATGAGCGGAACAAGTAGCTTTGCCGGCCAAAGTTGATGTGATACAAAATAACCTAAAGAACGAACTATCACAAAATGTTTGAAATTCCTACAATCTATCCTTAATTTCCATTAGCCGATTTAATGTTAATTAAATGTGAGGCATGTTAATGTTAAACCTTGCTTTACAGAAACTTAACATTTTTAATCAATATAGAATCGATATCGTTAAGTTTATCTTAACGGTATCATTTTGATATCATTTCAATATCATTTCAATATAGATTTAATAATTAATATCGAAATGATATCAAAATGATAATACTTTATTTCGATATCGTATCGATATTAAATCTATATTGAAATGATATTGAAATGATATCACTTGAAAACTTAAAGTTTCTGTAAAGTGGTCTAAGTCCTTGGCAAAGCTTTATTTATTGCTAGATTGTTATTATGGCCTAAATATTGTGATATTTGTGTAAATAAATGTCTCTTTTGTGTGGCACTCAGCAAATTTATCTTGTAAAATCGGAAGTCCCGTGACTTCCGAATTTATGATAAAAATCGTAGCTGGTAAACAAACCGGAATGATCACCATCTAATTATTGCGTCACGTCATATGTAAATCATACTAATTTAAATTTAAAAGGCAATCGATCATACAAACCGTTAAAAATACAATTCTTTTTTATTTTTTATTTCAATTCAAAAAAATGGTAAGAATATTTTTCTTTGTTATTTTATTTTAATTTGAACTTGACATAATTCATAAAATACATAATAAATACGATTTCTAATTTAAAGGATGATATCAACATTGACCTCAATATTGTCAAACAAGAACCGTTCGACGAGTTCGATAACACAAAACCTATAGATACATTTGTATCTTCTCAGAATTGTACATATTCAGATAACGCAATGCCTATAGATACAGTTGTATCTTCAAATGAAATTATAAATGAGGTATTATCAAAACTGGCGATTAAACAAGAACCAACTGACAAAGATTTTCAAAATTATACATCTTCAGATGACGCAATGCCTATAGACACATATGACTCTTTAAATGAACCAGATATTAAACAAGAGCCGTTTAACGAAGATTCTCAGAATTGTGCTTCATCAGATGACGCAAAGCCCATAGATACATTTGTCCCTTCGAAAGAAATTGAAGATGCGGAACGGGAGATCAAAAAAGAATCTGAAGATTCCGAAAATTCCGAAGATTTTGAATTAAAAGAAATACAAAGAGAAAAAAACAAGCAGAAAAAGATAAAAAATAACTTAATTTCAGAGAGTTCTAACATATTCTTATATGCAAAATCATGTCCAAATTGTAAAAAAAGTTTTAATTCTCCTTTAATCAAAAAGAAAATCATGCATTTTAAGTCATGTTGTAATTCTAAGAAGCGTTGGGTAGAAGAACGAGAATTGACAATAATGATTGAAGATTTGAAATATAAATTTAAAACAGCAATGGAGAAACATAATCATAACAATTTTGATTATGATTCTTCTGAAGAGGTGGCCAAAGATCTGGAAACGAAGAAGATTTATGAATATTTTTCTATAGAAAAATTAAATGTTGATAACAAAAAGAATATGAAGGAAAAAAAAGTAAAAAATAAGGAAGATTTTCGAGATGATGATCACAAAAAGAAATTGGGGACGAAGATAGAAACTGATGATATTGTTTGAACGTATGATTTTTAGTTTTGTTGAACTGATTGTCATTTCACAGATATACTAATCTTTGAGGTACTTAATATTTAAAGACACATTAGTGATAATATTCCATAAATAAAGTTATGAGAATAGGAGAAGATATTTCTTTTTTTTTTTTTTTGAATTCCAAAGTTTCATTAAGAAGAATGGAGGGATGAGTAAGGGGGTACAGAAAACTGATGATCATTTGATCATTTTAAAATAAATTATAAACTATTTTAGTAAATGTACTTTATCATGATGAGCACCATTATTGATCCAAGCACGTGTGTCAATTTAAAGCTGATCGCCGATCAGTTAGGGCGTCTATTTTTTTAATCCGATTAAAAATAATTTCAAAATCATAAATTATTTCAGATCAAATTATTAATTTAGGATAATAAAAATGGAAGGGTTAAATATGTTAATGCATAAGATTTTTTTTTTTTAGTATCAAATTTATCATTTTATTCGCTTTTTGTTATCCATTGACCTTACCGACTCCATCATATTGAACGTAACTCTAATTACAGTCACCTAAATTATATACAAAACGCACATGATTAATTTTTTTATTTATACACTCTAAAATTGGACACGTCACAATTGTCACATGTCCCAAGTGTCAAATCTCAATTTTATTCAAGATCTCTTGTCCAATCAATGTTTATCCGCTACATTACATGGTCCTTCAAAAGATAAAAAAGATAATCTTTCAAGTACCTCAAGACGTCGAATACACGTTCATTGCAATTCTTCTGAAAAATACCCATTCCCTCCTCAGAGTAACATTGGAAAATATACGCTTGTGCCTATAAACTTTTAAAATTTCATGGTTAGGTATAAAAGAAACAATCTAGGAATCATAATTGAATGTGGAATAAATATGAATCAGGCAGATGTAGTAATAAGGAATAATACCTTCACTTTCCACATCTAATACTAATGATTAAATCTTCATGGTGAAATTCAAGTACCAACAATTGGAGGTAGCGCAAATCATAAATCTGATGGAACGATGAAACTCTTCTATCACAATATCAAATTGAGGATATCGAGTCTCCTACTTAGAACATAGCTTAGTGCATATGCATTGCTTGATTACCAAAAGGTACTCACTCTTATTAATCGCTTTCATTTAAAGAATCTTATCATCATCGGCTGGTAGGTATTATTGATGAATTTTGTTTTATAAGTTGCGTGAATTTGCCGAGAATTCACTACAATTGGCCATAATATTTTTGCTTTATTTACTAATTATAACAGATAATGAATAATGTGAACAAGATAAGAGTATTGGTTTTGTTGTTTGAATTGCTTGCATTTATATTATAAATAAGATGAATTATGAATTTTCGATTTCACAGTTTAACTAATTAATTCCTTGTTTGATGACACGTGATGTACATTCCAATGTCAGGTCGTTCCTTTTTTAATTAACTCGTTAGAATAATATATTCTAAGATGCGCAATTACAAATACCAACGAGCACTCATACTACTTACCTGCCTTTAGGAGGATTTCTTTCTTACATATTAATTATTTAAACCAAAACGTAACTCTAGTAGATCTAGGTGAGCTGTACTCATCTTTCCCAAAATACATGTGTGTAATTGGTATTGAAGGGGCGATAAGACATAACATTCACTTACGCCTCCCTTCTCTTGCTTGAACTTATTATAAATATCAAAGCCAAATTGAATATACGTTTCAAGTAAATTCCTGAATAACATATTTATTTCACTACATCCAAATAAATAAAATACAAATCTAATGAAAAAACCCTCCGAAATATACAATACGTTGAGTTAGTTAATACAAAATAATGTTCATGAAGAAATAAATCAGCTCTTATATTCGGAAAAGGGTTAATTAATAAAATAACTATAAAATGAACAAAATATATATAACGAAAAGAAAACATATTGAATGAAATATGTTTTGCTAATACATCGATAAAATATGGTACAAGAAATTCTAAATGAGAGACTAATAATATATAAGATACAGTAATAAAATGAATGAATGTATGTATGTAAATTATTAATGAACTTTAATCCCATTTATAAATATTCCATCATATTCGATCATTTGCAGTACACCGCCAGCATCCTCTATTGAAACTATAGAATCCGGTATATCCCAAGAATAAACATTAAAAAAATCATCAGGATCCGGATCAGGAAAACTTTCATAAGTAAATACAGGTGCCCCATTAGCTTCATTTGTTTTTAATGTAGAATCATTTGAACCAGATCGATTTCTTGATCTTCGTTTTAACATATTTGACAAAGCTTGCGCTGTTGACGAAAAACTTCCACTTCTTGAACGTCGATTTTTCTTCTTTCTTTCACTAACCATCGTTGAAGATGTATATGAAATCTGACTAACAGCCGGTGGCGATAATGAAGGTGTTGTAATCAATGTATTGATAGGAGTTTGGTTATTTCCTTTCTTTGGCGAGTCACGAAATGAACGAATGAAATTTTTTGGTAATGTTTTTGCCACCGCTGCGATAACATTTGTATTTTGTGTTTTTGTGGTGGAAGATGACGTCGCTTTCGTAAGTTTACGCATTAAAACCGGAGCTTCTTGATTAGTCAACTCTTCAGATTGAGTTAATTTAATGTCGCTTTTACAATCATTATTTTTAATTGATACTAAATGATCAAGTTGATTGTTTTCTTCATTAAAATTTTCCTTATTAACTTCTTGTACTTTCGTTAATGCTGTTTCTCCTTGTATTGAGGGATTACTATCGATGCTGTTGCCAGAAACTGACAATAACGACGATCTCCTTGTTGCTGTTATAGAATAACGCGGAGTTGTAACTTGAGCTGTTGGTGAAGAAGTAGATCTAGATAACTTTGGAAGCTTTGGGCTAACTTTTAAACTAACTCGTTTTACTATACTTTGTTTAATCTCCGTCATGGCTGGTTGGGGAGTTGTTACTTTTGAGGTTTCCATATATTTATTAACACTTTAACCGTCAGTAATACTGCCTAATCTCGTTTGTGGGATATTTATAAACTTATTTTGGCCCGGCTAACTTATATAATTATTATAGATTTAAATTATATTTTATATTTGGAAAGTGAAATAAAGTTGAATGGTTAGCAAAAAAAGGAAAGTACTTCTTGAAGAGTTGAACACGTTCTTTATATAGTCAGTTGGATAACAATTTTTTCTTATTAAGTAATTATAATCGAGCCAATTGATATTAGAACACAGTAAGTTGGTTACCGAATATTTTATCGAAGGAAAGAAAAATAATTACGAGTCTTAAGGAGTAAATTAAGTTTATTAAAAGGTTAAAAACTCTTTTCCGAAAAAGATATTTGTGCTTGTGATAAACATTTTTACCCAATACTTAATCAGGTTAAAAAAAACAATTGGCACCTGAAAATTTTATTATGAAAATGTTTGATTGAACATAAGAATTTGGTTAAGATTTTTCATCAATTATTATTTCATTTTGATTAGCTATTGATCATTGATCATCTGAATATCTGAATTAATTAAGGCACCCAATAATAAAATAAACTTCGCATTTTTTTTTTTTTATCTTCGGAAATCGGAATTCAACCATTTTAATTAATTTCGGTTAAAAGCCACGAAATTCTTTTGAGGTTCTAAGGGAAAATAAAGTATAAAAAATTTTTCTTTTTCTTTTTTGTTAACAAAGATAAATTCTTCAAACTGGCACCTTTAGCTCCGTCTCCAGCCCTGGCTCCAGCACCGATTTTTACTTTTACTACCGCTACTGCTACTTCAACTACTCCCTCCTCTTCAACTTCATCACCTTCTACGCGGTGGGTGCGAAGGCTGCACCATCGACAAAGAAACCATAGAGAGAGGAACTTATTGTTTAGTCGGATGATACATGCTGCAGGAGGCGGTGGGAATAGTAATAGTGGTAGTAACAACATTAATAGTAACGGTAGCAACATTAATGGAAATAATTCTTCAACAATATCTTCAACAGTGCCTTCAACGACTTTATCAACCTCTTCCTCTTCATCAAATATACAAGACGATGATGATCTTCAAAACATGCATCACCATTTTCGTAGCAAGACAGTATGCAAATTAAATTGTGCACACTGTGATAATAGTGTGTGTGCGAGAGGAATGAAGGTGGGTGCTCATGGTGTGAAAAAGGGAAGGTAGTGGAGGCATTGATCAATGCATCAATGAGTATAGTTTAATGCAGCTATGTAAAATCTGGCGGAACAATAGTGGGTGGGCAAATTTACATTATAGTATGTTCAGGTAAAGAATATAATTCAAAGAAAAATAAGTATTACTAATTTTTAACTAATATATTTATTTTCCCCTTATCTATATAGGCAATGCTATTAGCTGACACAAGAATTGAACTTTATTCAACTGATGTACCGCCATTTTCGTACGTGTGCGTGATGCATATTGTATTTTAATGGTTATTATATTGATTTAATTGTAACTGATTAAATTTTTTAATTCAAAAAGAGTACAATTGGTCGGTGAAGATTATATGACACAAAATTGTCAATGTAAAATTCGAGATGTGGCATGTCTCACATGGTAATGTATTAAATAATTTATTCTTTTTATGAAAAAAAAAAGGTAACGATAATAACATGTTTATTTTAATTAGTGGAAATGTTCTAGGTTATCATATCACTCAACCATGTCAGCAGTGCATGGAGGCCTGTAACAATGGTCATCTTTGGATGTTTCACACTGAGGCTGTTACAAGTGAAGAGAGACTTGATCCTGAAGGTATGTTCGTTTGGTGGTTTTTATAAAGGAAGGGAGAAATAATTTTATATTTCGATTTTTTTATTTTATTTTAGGAAAAAAAATTCTTTTATGGGCACATTTACCTCGAGCTGAAAAAGACACCGAGGCAGTTAATTCCGAAGATGAATATGAACAATGTTGCCGATAAATGGGTTCTTTGAAACTTATTTTCCCAAACCTTAAAAGAATAATCATTAATTTGAATGAAGAAATCAGTTGAATAAGGTCAATATACGATTCTTGTAGTTTAATTTTCTTTATTGGTTCTTAAATATTGTATTTTTTTGTAATTCTCAAATTTAGATTTTTTTTTAATTGTTATTATGCGGTTTTATTAGTTTTTAAGATGGAAAAGACAGATGATGTTACTGAAAAGCGCATATTTTTTTTTTTTTTTTTTTTTTTTTTTTTTTTTTTTTTTTTGTTATTTAACTATATTATTTCGGAAATTTCTTTTTATGTATGTAGTTTTTTTACATATGGAGAGGGAAGTTTGTACGAGAAGCTATGTTATTTTGATGAATAAAGAAATACTCGATTTTTGGAATTTTGTTGTATATATTTAATATAAAAAAAATTCGAGTTTTTTTAAACACGGCTATCTTTTTTTGATAATCTTGTACTCGTGTAACATAAATTTTTTATATAAACCAAAATTTTTGGTCGATCAGCCATTTCTTTAACAAAAAATGAAAATAAATAAAAAACGTAAGCGTCATTCAATCAGTAATGATAATAAATATATTAACGGAAAGGATCTAGACGAACCAGAACAAATAAATAGAAAGAATCTGAAAGTGAATAATAATATTAAAGATGATAACCAGTTTTCTAAAATGGAAGATATTTCTAAAGTGGATAATAAACGAATTTCTCATAAAAAATCAAATGATAGTAGCAAAAATTCGAGAGAAAAAAAGAATGGATCGGATTTGATTAAATTCCGAAAAAATTTACCCATTTGGCAAGGTAATTGTTGTAAATTAAACCTGATTGATTTTCTTTACCTAATATTAATTATGTTCATAAAAAAGAACGGAATAACTTGGTTCAAGCAGTAAAAAAAAATGAAACTATTATTATTATGGGAGAAATGGGTAGTGGAAAAAGTACTCGTACGTATATTTTATTTGTTTATTTTGTTATTTTACCATGATTTAATCGTAAAATAATAATATAATTATAGAAACACCACAGTTTTTGGTTGAGTTTGGATTGATTTCATCAAAAAAAGGAGTTATAGCTATAACGCAACCAAGACGTGTTGCAGCTATAAGTTTAGCTAGTAGAGTATCACAAGAATTTGGAACGCAGTTAGGACAAAAGGTATAATAACGATAGGTATAAATAGTGATCAATATTAATATATTAATATAATTCATATATTCTAATATAAACTCCCAATTAATAAAAGGTTGGATATTCGGTACGATTCGATGATAAATCATCACATTCTACAATCATAAAATATTTAACGGATGGAATGTTATTAAGAGAATTATTGTCGGATCCATTATTATTAAAATATTCAATAGTAATATTGGACGAAGCACATGAAAGAACTATGCGCACAGATATTCTTTTTGGTATGGTTAAAAGAGCTCAAGAAATTAGAAAAAATAAAAGTAACCAAGAAGATAAAAATTATGAACCGTTAAAAATTATTATTATGAGCGCTACGCTTGATGCAGAAAAATTTGCTAGATATTTCAATACGTAAGTAATTTTTGATGTAATTATTACGTTAGAAAAAATTAGAAAAAAATTAAGAAATTTATAATGTTACAGTTCTACTATATTGAAGATTCCCGGAAGACAATTTCCTGTTACTATTAATTACGCTTCTGAACCACAATCGGATTATTTAGATGCTGCTTTAACAACTACGATGCAGATTCACATGGACCAACCTAAGGGAGATATCTTGGTATTTTTACCTGGTATTTAAAAAATTTAATTTTTCGCGCTTCTATTATAATGTCACGTGAATGTTTAAACAACTTTTGAATTTATTAGGTCAAGAGGATATTGAAATACTTGAAAAATTAATAAATGATTATGGTACCTCACTTCCACCTGATAAACTAAAGGTAGCAAATTAACTTAAATAAACTCAAATATACAGCTGATTATTTTAATTTTTTTTTTTGGTAAAGTAGGTTATTACGTGTTTATTGTTTGCCGCCTTACCTACGGAACAGCAAACCAAAGTATTCGATCCTGTACCACCTGGAACGCGTAAAATAATTCTTGCAACGAATATAGCAGAAACTTCAATTACAATTAGAGGAGTGCAATATGTTGTTGATACAGCGAAGTGTAAGATACGTAAATTTAACCCAAGAATTGGTATGGAAAGTTTATCAATAGAAAATATTTCAAAAAATTCAGCAGATCAAAGAATGGGAAGAGCAGGTCGTGAGGTATTTAATTCATTTTATTATTTTACTAGATGATAATATATTTCGTTCTAATTTTATTTATTATTAAAATAGGCATCGGGGGTTTGTTATCGTCTATTTACAAAAGATGAGTATAATAGAATGGAAAAAGATACTGAACCTGAGATTAAGAGATGTAATCTTGCACCGATAATTCTGTTGTTAAAAGCATTGGGTATAGATGACGTATTAGGATTTGATTATCTGGACGCACCATCGAGAACCTTATGTACATAGTAGGACTTTTTTATATACATATATTGAAGATAAATAATTTTTATAAAACTTTTTTCTTTAAAACAGTAAAGAGAGCTTTGGAGCAATTGTTTATTCTTAAGGCTCTTGATAGCCAGGGGAGAATAACGGAACTTGGTAAAAAAATGGCAGAATTCCCACTTGAACCAGCTTACGCAAAAGTTCTTATAGTGTCACAGGTAATTTATTAAGAAAATTCGTGATTTTTTAAGGAAATAATTTGTAAGAATTTATTTTCAACTTAATAGGAAATGTCATGTACACGTGAAGCAATTGAAATTGTTTCATTACTTTCAGTTGAATCAATATTTTTTTCTCCACAAGATCAAAGAGAACATGCAAGCGAAATGAAAAAGAAATTCATTTCGCCATTTGGAGATTTAATTACATTTCTTAATGTATTAAGATCATATGAAGTACAAAAAGGAAATTCTGAATGGTGTCATCAAAATTTTATTAATAGGCGCAATATGAAACATGTAATTGTAAGTATGATTCTTAGTTGTAAATTTAAGTGAATAATTATATATATATATTTTTTAAAAAAAATTATAATAGGAAGTAAGAAAACAGCTAATTCAGTTATGTACTAGAATGGGAATTCCGACAAATAGTTCTTGTGGAAATGAATATGAAATTGTTTTAAAATGTATATTATGTGGATTTTTTCGCAATTCTGCTATATTACAGCCCACGAACAATTATAGAACTATTTTCAGTAATCAGGTAAGCAACAATTTTTTTTTTTACTAATATATTATTTATGAATCTATAACTTAATTTATTATATTTATATTTAGAATGTGAATATACATCCATCCTCTACTTTATTCAATAAAAAAGTAGAGGCTGTCATGTATACTGAATTGGTAAAAATTTTTTTATACATTATTAAATTTTAATTGCTTTGTCGCTTATCTCTCTTTTTTTTTTCTTTTTTTTTTATCTGTAAAAAGGTGTTGACTACAAAACCTTATATGAAGAATGTATCCGCAATTCAAAGTAATTGGTTATCTGATACTGCACCAAATATTCAAAAATAAGATTCATTTTTGAATATGTTTATTTAATATTAACTTGATTATTGGAAATTTGGTGTTATAAATCCAAAAATAAAGTCTATTTCTACTAATCAATTTATATTAAATAAACTCTCTTACAAATTGATATTTTTAAAAAAATATTATTGATACTTTGATAGTTGATATTAAAAAAAATTTTCTATCTTATAATAATTATGCATTTATATTAAATTAAAATATTTAATAAAAGTACACTCCAAATGCCATTACTACACATATAATTGTTCCCTAGTAAAATCGAAACATAATAATTAATCTTCAGTCCGTAACAAATACGAAATAATTTATATTCATTATACGTACGTTTACGTTTTTAAAAGTCTCTTGTGCAAGATTATCAGTATCGGAATCCCATAAACAATTCACTTGCATACTACATAATTTTTTTGCGAAATAAATCTTTTTTTTTGCTCTAAAGATAGGCAATTAATCTAATATATTCTCATTATTCTTACCGAGCACCAGCCCCTTTATTCTCCATTATCGTTACATTGACAATATATTTGTATCTGTTAAGTTCCATTTCTATATTTAAAGAAGCTAATTAACATAATTCTTCATATGTTTAAAATTTATTAATCAAAGAACAACTTTACCCAATAATTTCTTTTTAATTTCTTCAGCAATTTCATGAGCCCAACCTGGAGCTTGATCCTTATCATATATAGCTTGATCTAATCTCTCAGAAACAACTTGTTGAATTATCGTTTTCACTAACGGTGCACGAAACCTTTTTTGTTACATGTTTTAGAATTACAAGATTAGCTAACATGAACATGTTTGAAGTCAATGGATAAATGCAAAAAAAAATTACTTTTGAAAAAAAGCAGGTCTAAGTGAAGGTTCTGAGCCACGACGCTCCTGTTCACCCATTACCGCTTTTTCTGGTCCACGACGTTCATATTCAGTCATCACCGAAGATTGAACTTTTTCTGGTAAGGTACTTTGAATTTCGTAACTCATTATGTACACTTTTTACTTCTAACTGCAATAATGAAAAGATCATATAAATTTAAATTAAAAGTTACACAATTAACACAACATATTGTAATTTCACACGCTAATCGTCTGATTGCGTCTGAAAAAATATATTTATATAGGGTTAATTCTAAATAATTCAATAAAAAAATTAATTTCAAGATGCCTATTGCAAAAATTGCTCCTTCTATGCTATCTAGTGATTTTGCATCACTCGCAGCTGAAGCCCATCGTATGATAAAAAATGGTGCTGATTGGTTGCATATGGGTACGCTCGAAATTCGAATTCTCGTCAATTGTTTTTAGTATTGATTGTGATTAATTTTTCCCTTTAACTTTACTTGTTACAGACGTTATGGATGGGTAAGAAAAATTATTGTCTATTAGCTATTTCTTTAATTTAATTTTTCTTTAATGCTCTAGACATTTCGTTCCTAATATAACTATTGGTGCCCCGGTGATTCAATCGTTACGAAAACATACAAATGTATTCTTGGGTAAGTTTAATCAAAATTTCGAATCTTTAAATTCGTTCTCAATTCTTATCATAATTTCTTTTAGATTGCCATTTGATGGTATCAAACCCAGAAAAAGTATGTAAAATTTTATATTAAATTTACTTCATTTCACCAAAATATAATTTATTTATCGGTTCACTTTTTATATGTAAATTTAGTGGGTAGATGATTTTGCAAAGGCAGGAGCTTCATTGTATTGTTTTCATATAGAAGCAACAAACGAACCTGAAGCTTTAATTGAACAAATTAAGAAAGCGGGAATGAAAGTTGGAGTAGCTGTTAAACCAAAAACTCCAATAGAGACCGTTTTCCCATTAGTTGATAAAATCGACATGTGCTTAGTTATGACAGTTGAGCCGGGTTTTGGAGGACAAAAATTTATGCCTGATTGTATGCCAAAGGTAATTATAACTTAATTTATAGAATTTTGGTAAAATGACAAAGCTATAATGTTTAAATAATTAATTACTTAGGTACAATCGTTAAGAGAAAATTTTCCCAAACTTGATATTGAAGTAGATGGAGGTCTTAGTCTTGATACAATTGATACAGCTGCACAAGCAGGTGCTAATGTAATTGTAGCTGGCACTTCAGTTTTTAAAGCCGAAAGTCCTAAAGATGTTATTTCAACTCTTAGAGAAAAAGTAGAATCTGTACAATCTAAATCATGAAGAATTAATTACTTTAAATCGTGATATTTGGTACTTTAGTTTTAATTTTAATTTCGTTGAATATTTATTTATACAAAAAAATAAAAAAATATATATATATACATATGGTTATCAAAGAAACCAATGAAATCTACACCTAAATTATACAGGAGGTATTTTGAACTACAAAATATTCAATTATTACCTATTCATTAATTATAACTATTCAACGTATACACTATTTATTAATTGATCTAAAATTATTTTCTGCTGCTGTTGGAAATCCTCGATTCGTTTCACTATTCGTCGTCCTGAAACCGAACTGTAAATTATTATTATTTGATATGTATTCTGATCCAAAAATATATTTTTGATTTACGTTAGCTCTTGTTAAATTAAGATTCTCGTCGCTAAGTATTGAGTTCATTCCAAATCTACGATTTGAATCCACGCTAGTGTTCACGTCTGGTAGATCTCCCCAACCTTCGTCTTCTTCATTTACTTTCGGGGTTTGGAACCACCCGATTTCATTATCATTATTATCGTTAATTTCGTTACCGACCGCGGACGTGTTAAAACTTTTTAAACTTTTTGTTGAATATAAAATATCTTCAACACTTTTTGTTGTTGTTGTTGTTGTTGAAGGTAAAATATCGTTACCAAACATTTTATGAGTAGCATATGGAAATGATTGATTTTCTGTCGGTTTATTAATGTTACTATTACCGGCGGATAATTTTGAAAATTGGTCTATAAATAATTCATCTTCAGTTTTAACATTAAGTTTGTCCAAATCAGATAGCAATCCTTCCATTATTTTATAAATCTGTTGACGAGAATAAGAAAGTTGTGGCGATGATCCATATAACCTGTTCTATTTATAAATTTTACACGCGATACACGTGATTGGTTGTGTGAACCATATCTGATACGTTTTCCGTAAAACAATTTATATCTGCTAAAATTATAAGTCATAGAATGAACTTTAATTATTTAAAATACAAATTAACCTAAAGCTTAATTACTTTATGTACAATTATAGAAATGTTCCAATTGGATATAAGTTTATCAATGAATCCTGACCAAATGAATAATCTATAATTAAAAGCAAAACATGACCGAATTAAGATATTAAGAGAAAAATAATTTACATAACTTAAGAATCAGAAATGTTGTACTTTATCTCGTAATTTGGTTGACGTGAAACCTGCAATAGAGCAAAGATCGTTAGAAATGAAACGCAAACAATTGAATAAAAATAGGATTATTCGCAACTAACACACCAATCAAATTTTTTATTAAATCTACTATTATTCAGTTTGATTCAGAAACTTCTTTCGAAGTTTTTGCTTTTATTGATAAAGCATGTACACTCATATTCATTTCTTCATTAAGCAATTCATATATGAGTCTGTGACGTTGTATTAATTTCTATTTATCAAAGAAAAAATATTTAAGATATATTACTCATAAAAAATTTAAAAACATTATAATAATAATTGAAATCATTACTTTTCCTTCAAAGTGATCTGAAACAATCGAAATACTATTTATGACATTAATTTGATAATTAAATATTTGAAAGATAAAAAAATCTGAATTTTTGAAAAAAAAAAAATTTAATAAGTACCAAAAATGGGTTTCCTTGCTCGTAACATCTTTCATCGCTTGATGATGTGCATGCAAGTGAGATTCGTTAATAATTTCTAGCGATGTTGGATTAAACGCTTTTGTTAACTGTCATAATAATTAATAATTTATCAGTTGAATATTAAGACAAAATTCGCTACCCGTTTTAATTTAAATTAATCACCTTTTGTTGAATACTTTGATATATTGGTCCTACTTCCGTCATTGCTCTTAAATTATGAATGAATTTTGTACGAATTGATTTTGAAAATATTGATAAACTTATCATTTCCAGAAAGACATTTTTTTAGGTTCATGTTATATATTATTTAAATCGAGATCATCAGCACGTGTCTCATTGGCGCAGTGATTTTAGACGGCTATTATAATCACAACTGCGCAAGAGATATATTGTCAATAATAACAAGAATGCGATATAATTTGGAAAAAGTCAATTAAAAATTTAGTTATAAATATCATGCAACATATAAAATCTTAGAATACCTATAAACAACTGAACTAAATGGAATGAAATGATCAGGATTTATTGATTAATAGTACAAAAGAATACGAATGAGGATATGACTGAAAATCTGTACACTAAAGCCATCTGCACCTTTTTGTGGAAAGTATATGCTTAAAGAAATTTCAAAAGGATCACATTGAAGATTTATGCAATTTCATTGAGAACTCAAGAGATATTACGGAGATGGCAGTTCTTCGTGGAAAACTTTTTGAAATGTGGTCGCATTCAAAGATTTGCAAAGGAGGGGAATTTTTGGTATTCTGAATTTGGGAGAAATTCGTTGATCGTTAAATTAAATTTGCAGTTAAATGTTCATGTTTTTATTATTTTTTTATTACAAATATACATATGCATAAACTAATTGGATATTAGCGAATCACACAACATTGTATTCTAAAATGACAAAGATAGATATTGTACAATTATAGAATAATTGATGTTAAAAGTGAAATTACATAAAAGAAATTATTTACAAAGAAAAAAATTTTTTCATCGAGTAGAATAAAATTCGAATGCCTAGCAAAAGTGCTAGTGCTTTTTTTTCTTCTTTTTTCCCTTATTCTTTCCCTTCTTTGTTCCCTTATTCTTTCCCTTCTTTGTTCCTTTTTGTTCATTTCTTATTGCTGAATTAGACCCTTTAGTTACTACCCACTCACCGATAGACTTGAATGAATCTGCTAATTCTCTAGCTTTTTGTTCGATTTCATTCTCTGGTATAAGTTCATGAGTGAACTCAATGACATAACAAATATTTTCTTGGTGGAAAAGGTAGTTTACCAAAGCTTCTCTTAATTCACCTCCTAAGTATGACATGGTACTATCTACACGAGACCACATATAGATAATACCGGTAGTGTTTTCTAACCAAAAGACATAATTATCATTACTTGCAAGGATGGGACGAACATCAGAAATACCATAAAGCTCAAAGAAATCATTAATTTCATAATCCTCCAAGACATCACCGCTTGTTTCATTAAAAGGATAAAAACTTTTTAATATATTAAGAAGTACAGGAACATCTTGGGAGTATTTTGCTTCAAGATCACAAGACAATTTTCGCAAGGTGGCTTGTCTTTCTGATCTTTTGTTGAAATCAAATGAAGTCAGATTGGTAAGTTTTGTTTCCAGTATGCTAAATGTGCCAGTGGGTTGTTCTTGGCACAATTGCTGAAATTCCAGCCCTTTATTTTCAAAGGCATCACATTCCCATTTTTGTCTCGTGGAAGGAGATGTTGGTGTATTTGGTTGAAATCTTGTCAAAGCTTCACTAAAGCTTGTCTGAATTTGGTGTGGCCTATTAGCATTATCCTGAACAAATAATTGATGATTCTCTGCCACTTGAACTTCCATATCACATTGATCACTTATGAAGTTTGATAAGATTTTGTCTCCAAAAGTACTACCCATTTCGCTAATTATTTCTGGTATTGAAAAAGAAAATTTATCTGTTCCTAAAGAAACCTCAAAGTTCTTGAATTGGAATTAGTTTGATGTTAATCATATAATACAAACAGAGAGCATTTCAAACTGTATTTAGTGCAATATCTGTTTCATCTAAAGTTATCAGCAAATAATGTGATTTTCCGTTCTGTTAGAAAAATGTTTGTCTGTTGTATTTAAAATGCCAGAAAATTTTAAATATTTCCATCTCATTAAATATCATAATTATACATATCCGCATTATTCTTTATAAGGTATAGTAAAGTTACTATTTCTAAAAATAGATTTGCTAATTAAAGAGAATTTATGTAACTTTCATATGAAAGTTTCTAAATAATTACATCTACAGTTACACCAATGTGGCTTTTTTCATACTAATAAAAATTTGGAAAAAATCACTTGACACGTGACTATATAAAATTGTTACTATATTATTCACGTAACAGTGTATAATTCTGCATAATACCAACTACCAAAGTGCTTTTTTTCTTGAGAATGCTAGAGTAGTTCTTTGTCAGAAAGGAAGTACCAGAGTTCGATAATTTTTCTGCAGATAAGCTCAAGTTATAGGAGAGAAAAATCCCTAACAATCGTAATCTCTTGAACAATCTCTCACTTTAGAACTTCTTGCAACAAGAGAAATAAAAGACTACTGAACTGGGAAACTATCTAAGAGGTACTGTATATTTATGTCTTAATCAAACTAGCTATGCACTACGATTAATAATAATATCAAAAATGATTATGATCACATTTCTTTCATCGATATCTTATCAATTGATGATTTATGGGATTTACCTTATAATAATTTTTATTTAACCTTTATTGATTTTATTAAAGGTTTTATTCCTCTAGCTTTATCTAAGTATCTTAAATCATTATCTTTAAATGATAAACTCGTTCATATTATTGTTAGAGATTTACATAATTTTATTTATAATAAAGTAATAAATAATACAGTAACACCCCTATAAGTGCACCCTCTATAAGTGCATTCCCTCTCTATATGCACTCCATAGCTTGGTCCTGAGCTTAGGACTTAGAGCTAAGTGCACTCCTTCTATGTTTTGCACATGCAAGCAAAACTGAGTCTCAGGAGGACCCCACTTACTTCTAATAAAAGTCACTGTAAAATTTTTAAGATTTATATGTAAATTTACCTTACTCCAAATTTTCCTTCTACTAAGTAATTTTACCACCTTTCCAGTTACATTTTTAAATCACATATATTTTTACCTTACAAGTTCAGTAAAATTTATAATTATAGATTATATAAAACATAATTTATTTTATACATTTAGTACTTTTTATTTCTTTTAAAATTGGCCTAATTTTTAGATATAATTATTTTAGAAAAATGTAAAAAAGTTCCTATTTAAAATAAGTTTAAAATTGATCAATAGTTACAAATATATATATTATTTTTTGACAAAAAAAAAAAATAAAATAACATATTTATCCCACCTATTGCAACCACTCACCCTTTCCGATCTTTGCTTTATTTTATAATTTTTTATATTACACAGATATCCATACAAAATTCTTTTTTACATATTTATTCTTTTAATTTTACGTGTTTATGTAATAAATTTATATGTGTCTACATTTGTGTAATGAAATTTTATGTGTCTGTGTAATAAATGTAATGAACTTATGCTAAAAATAATATAATAAATTTTATGTGTTTGTGTAATAAAATTTTACGTGTCTGTATAATGAACTTATGCTAAAAATAATATAATAAATTTTACGTGTTTGTGTAATGAAATTTTACATGTCCGTGTAATGAACTTATGCTAAAAATAGTATAATAAATTTTACACGTCTGTGTAATAAACTTGTAACTAAAAATAGTATAATAAATTTTACATGTCTGTATAATGAAATTTTACGTATCTGTGTAATAAACTTTGTGCTAAAAATAGTATATACTAGTAATAAATTTTACGAAATCATAAATTTTACCTTATAATTACAAGTTACATTTTAAAATCCTATTTAATTTTACCATATACTTAACAGTTACATAAAAAAACTTACCATGGAATTACATTTACTTTTTTTAATTTATAAAGAATTTTACCTTATAAATTCAACCAGTTTTTTTGACTTTTCTATGTAATTTTTACCTTAGGCTTGTGTAAGGTTGCTTGTCTAAACCTCTTCAAAATCCTACGATTAGTTTTGTCAAAATTTTACTATAGATTTATTATAGTTTCGGCAGAGTTTCGGCAGTTTCTGCATTTATAATAAGTTTCTGCAGTTTCTCCTTTCTCCATAGTTTCTCCAGTTTTTTAATATAACTTTAATATAGTTTCGGCAGAATTTCGCTTTTCGGCAAAACGCCATCTTGCCTAAACCCTAGGTTTCAGCAAGCAACCTTAGGCTTGTGGGTGACTTCTATTAGAAATAAGCGAGGTCCTGTTCCAGGTATATTAGAATACCCTCCATAAATGCATTCACGTGACTATTGCAAAATTTTGACCAATCATTGATAACAGTTAATTTTTAAATTAATTTAATTTATCAATTTAGAAGTGAAATCATGGTGAACTATATAACAGTAAACTTTTATTTTGTAGTTACAAGCAATTACATTTGACTATGAAATTTGTTAGTACCAACTACTATAACATCATCAATTAAATTATAGATAAATTGGAGTAAATTACAAGCGTATGAACATCTTACTTGATCAATTATCATAGCAAGAAGATTTTTTTTTAAGGAAACAGATAGTGGGAAAGATTGAAAATTTTTTTAGGGCCAAAAAAATAGTTTAATGCGGTAAACTGACATTAACACATATTTTCATTAAATTTTCGCAAAATATATTGTTTTATTTGGATTTGAGTTTAATAAAAAAAATTTAAAACTTATAAATAAAAATTTTTGTCAGAAACCTAATTGTGTAATTAAATCTATTTTTCTATTGGCTGTTCTATAAATGCACACCCTTCCTAAGTACACGTGCATAATCGGTCTCGAGGTGCGTGCACTTTATAGGGAGGTGTTATTATATTTGGAAATCACATTGCGAACTTCATCAGGTCATTTTGGAAAAAGGTCTTTTTATTATTAAAAGAAAAAAATTAGATTGTCATTCTAAAAATTTAAAGAATTCTTCTTTTGTTTTTATTAATAATACTAACTTTTCTAGTTTAGATTTTATAGAAAATAGTTTAGAATCTTTATGTAATAATATATATTTCGATGAAGATATTTTGGGTTTTATACTGCATATTAACTACATGTTTTTTATTAACTTTTATTAGTTCTTTTAATAAGTGACCTTATTAGCAAGCACTTGATACAGAGTTGATTTAGATAGTTTACGACTCAGTTTAATTAGTTTTACTTTGAAACAGAATTATTTGGGCAGTGTATTTTACTTTAAATTCATCATATATCACTTTTTATTTATAACTAGTATATAGAATTTAATAAAGTTTAATAAATAACATGCAGTTTCAATTTGAAGTCACTTTGCCGTAAAAAAAAAAAGAAATCTTTCAGAATTCCCTGTAACTGCACATATTAACTGTATGAGTTTTTGTCCTAGTATCACTTTATGATACCATTGGAATGCTCATTGGGTACTAGATAGTTCTTATAGATGGTAATAGTCATGGATGCAATATCTTTATGGTAGTTTACCTTCTATTAGATTTAGGTTGACCATGATATTTGTGATCCAAATGGTGTATAAGGTTCAGAGACTGTGTTCGATTTTCTTGGTGAATTTAATGTATTGGTGGTAATTCTTGGGATAGGTTAACTCTTTAGTAAGATGATCCTGCACCCTTTGAAGCTTCCTATCCTGGTAATCACTCATATGATAATATGATCATTTGATGCAGATTTACTTGCCATACTACTGGGAATAATATGACCATAGTCCTAGTATGTAGAAATTATGAAGCTGTAGTGGCCTTGAGTAAACCTACTCCCTAATATAAGGTTATAGAAGGGTATCTAGATGGTCATCTGTTGCACCATAATCCTTAAACGTAGATGGTCTTTATAGCTGAGTGGGGTTTTAAAATATAGAAGCCTAGCTTAACCTTATGAGATTGCTGAAAAAGGAAAGTTCTTAGTGTTTGTAATTGGTTTAAAAATATCCTTCTGGATTGTTAAGTTCAGTTGTGGCTCTGTCTTCCATGAGAGATATACTAACTTGTCACATAATGAACTCTAATATCTAATAAACTAAAAAAAAAAAAAAAGAAACCTTTTAGAATTTTTTTTTTAGTTTCATCAAATAATATATTGCACATTTGTGTAGGAAGACAATTCTCCTTTTTTCTTTTCTGATCAAAAATGTCAGTGAATTCAACCCAATACATTTCTGTTTCATCATCATATTCAGTACGTGTGGATAAATGACTTACAGAAGAGAATCGATTTGATCTAACTAGAAGAAATAAAGTACAGGTTATTATGTATCATCACAAGCAATTACACTGGCAATTTTTGCATAGATGTCACATATTACATAATATCAATTATATAATTTTTGATATTTGCTTTGCCTTTTATGAAACGATAGTTTTATTTTAATATTTTTGTATTACTCCATTTTTCACGTCTCTTTACGTTTCTATTAAATATACAAATTGTAAATAAAAAACTTTTATTATAAAACTTGTTAAATTTTCAATTTAACACTTGTATTTCATTAGTTTATATATATTTATCTTGACTTCAGAAATGTTTTTCTTTAATAAATTACAATCTACAATTACTAAATGTAAATGGAAAACAAAAAAATTCACTTGTAAGTTTTTTTGTTTTTATATTGATTCTGGTTATAGTGTTTATAATTTTTTTTTCTTGTTTTTTTTTAATTACAAAATGGTCTTTGATTTATTGGAATTAAATGTTATATAGATTTATCTGTTATTATTGTCTTTTGACAGGATTAATTGTTACAGTATTATAGCATAGATACTAACATATAAGAGCAGTTAGATTTATAAGAACAGAATAATTATTATATATTTTTATTTAATATATTAGTAGTAAATAGGTTTATTAGATTTATATAATTTTAATATATAATATTTAATAAAATTTTATGAAGTTTATAAAGAAAATCAAATTTATTTAATTATTTTTAATTATTTAAGATATATTGTTAAATTTGTATTATCTTCCCAAGTTCGTGGATTGGTAATTCATCTATTAAATTTTGTAATATCATTAACAAGCTTTTAAATTCCATCAAAATTCTTATTTACTGCTTTTATCCATCTGTGGTTATTTAAGGCATATTACTCATATATAACTGATATTGCTTGATCAAAATAGGATTCAATTTCTTGAAACTTTTGTTTCATGTTTTCTAATTTTTATTTATAATTTTATATTAGATATATTTTAAAAGAAAAAACTTAAAAATTACTTCTGTTATTTCTACACCTTTCATCCTTTCTGCTTCTTCTACTCCTTCTACATTATCTGTATTTTCTGCATCTTCTGTTATACCCCTGTCTCTTATACACATCTAGATGTGTATATTTTTTTTGTTATACCCTATAAAAAAAAATTTTACTTAAAATATATTTAAAATATACTTAATTTTCTTATTTTATACTTAAAATATACTGAAAATTAAATTTTCGCAAAATTTGAATTAAATTGTATTTAATATATACTTAAAATATATTTAATTTACATTTAAATTTTGCCCATTTCAGTATATTTTAAGGATATTTAAAATATGAATATTTTAAGTATATTATTATATACTTAAATTATACTGATATTTAATTTTTGCCTATTTCAGTATATTTTAAGTATAAAATAAAATTTTAAATATATTTTAAGTATAAAATAAAATTTTAAGTTTATTTTAAGTATATTTTAGCAAAAATATTTTTTATAGGGATATTTATACCTTTTATTTTACCTTCTGATCTTTCTTTACCTGCTACTTTGTTCAATAAAGTTCTATTAAAATAAGTTTGCTTTTCAGATATCAAGAAGAAAATAAATGACTTATCTTTATACACTATTAAAAAATTCTATAGTGATTATATTATTAACTGATTTAACTAAATACTTACAAAGAAAAAATCTGTTTATAAAAAACTGAATGCAAGACAACTACAAATCCATTGATCTGTATTAGTATAATATAATTTGCCTGAAAATTCTTGCTTTACTAAATTTTTTTTACATTTTTTAAATTCTTTTCTCCAAAAAACTTTTTCCCTGGAACTCTTTCCGATGATCTCTCTAACCAATTTTTTGCACAAAAAATAAAAATTTTTATAATGTATTCAGCGTCAAGAGTGGTTAGACAGGAACAATATATCAATATTATTGACCTTGACAAAGTCACCGAACATAGAATAAATGGAAAGAGCCTTCTTGAAACCCTTGGTATTGCCCTTCGTAAAGTCCCTCTTACGCAACCAACCGATATTAATAGAACTGTTATGCGTTTGATGCCTATGGAAGAATATGACAGTAAAGACCAGTTTGTTAAAGACCACAAGCTCGTACTTAAAGAACTTGGAGTGAAAAATGCGGTTCAACTTATCTACTTGTTGTTTATTCTCAACGATATTCTCGCTGAGCATGACACCTCTATGAAGAATTACATAGACGAAACTTTCCAAAAACAAGTGGTGCAGTTTGAAGCAACAGAAGTATCCAATGATACGCCAGTATCTACTTTAGTACAGCTGATGGAAACGGAAATTTTTGAAAATGTCGAACACCAATTAATGGATGTGGAACACGATGATCAAAACAATGAACACCTATTAGAGGACGTGATTGCTGAATCTTCAACAAAAAACTCTAAAAAGAGTTCCACAAAACTTAACGCCAAAGCCATACCCTATACCCCAAAAGGAAAAGGACGCACTATCACGTTTGCAGAAATGGCCTCCAGGAATCTTGATGCAGACAGCAACCGTGATACCTCCCTGACTCCACCTGGTAATAGGCCAAAGAATAACGAGATCAAGCGTAAGATGTCAAATAGCCAGGCGCAACTGGCTAAGAAGAAACAACAACACACTTCTCCAAAAGAAATACAATCAGTAATGACCAGATACGACCCAGTACTAAAGGACAATATCTGGGAAATTACTTTATATGACATCCCCTCCACTTGGGTTCAGCTCGATCTTCTTCAGCATCTTGAGAAATGGGGTCACGTGATCGCTTTCAAGACTAAATGTCAGAAGAAATATTTTATGGTCACTGTTTCAATCGACTTTAACGAGTAGACTATGAACTTATGGAATCAAGGAGTCTGGACCGCTCCTTTAAGAGGTCTTCCTGTCCGATGGTATCCTGCTAACTGGAATCTTCAACAAAGAAAGAAAAGAGAACGATTTCAGGCTGTGGTGAAAGATTTACCTGGAACTATCACTACTTCGATGCTATATCCTTCAGACCCTTTCCAATCACCTATCTCACATTTGAGATGCAAAGCGTTTAAGGTGGTTTAGAAGAAAAGTACTCGCAAGCTCATCACAGGACCCCGGATATCTCCAAAACAGGTCATAAGTCACACTTTCGGCAGATTGGCACATTTTTCAGGGGCTCAAAAAATCGTTTTTTGTAAATATCTCGGCATCCAGTGGTCCAATTTTGATGAACATTTTTTTAAATTGTAGAGCTAAATGAGGGCTACAAAATAAAAAAAAGTTCATTAAAATTGAATTACTGGATGCTGAGATATTTACAAAAAACGATTTTTTGAGTTTCAGCAAAAAGGGGTGTTTTTGGCCAAAAGTCCATTATGACCTTTATATTAGATATCCGGGGTCCTCTCATCACGTATTACAAAAATTGGGCTGATTTGGATAAAATCATGAATACCAAGTTGAACTTGCCAGAATTTGAAGGTGTTTGGACTTGGTACTTTTCACCTCAACTATCCAAAGGTCGTAATCGACCACCAAAAAGTGGCCGTAATCAGAAGCAGAACCAAGACTCGGCTAACAAGGTTGGATCAAATACTGCAAATAACAAGACTAAGGAGGGCAAACCTAGCAGAAAGAAACAGAATTCTTTTATTATAAAGAATTTGAAGAAAGGTTTAAACAGTAGCAAATCGGGTAAACTTACTTTGCTTGCCGAAATTCGCTCGCTATTAAGAAGACTGGAAAATTGATGGGAAGACATGACAGTCTTGGTGAACTACTGGATGCAGATGTCGTAGTGAACTTCGTATTTGTAGAATACTAATTTTTTTTTAGTTACCCCTTCTTTTAATTTTTTTTTTTACCCTGACTTTCTGTTTTGCTCCTTTATTTTCTTATTGTTTGAGTATGGGTTTCATCTGCAGTAGCAGTGAGTCCTTGGAAGCACTCATGGTGTAGACTGGGAGGATATATTATCTAAGAACAGGACGCTTATAAGCAGACTTACTCCTCTAGCCTAAGTCCTTCACTGACAGTGCACATATGGTTATATCGTTGGATATAAAAAAAAAAAAAAAAAAAAAACTTTTTCCCTTACTGATTTATATTTGTTATACATGACTTCACTATAAGGTAATAAATATGTTATTATGATAAAAGTAACTAAATCTAAACATTACTATATATATATGCTGCCCAAATTATTTTGGGATGTCATAATTATAATTTGGTATGCTATAATTCATTCAGTTTATATATAATTTACTATGTAAAGTGCCAAAATAATTTGAAATGTCATAATTGAATTTTGTATTTTACTTATAATTACGGCAGCTTAAAATAATTTGGATGGCATGTATATTAAACATGATTTAAAAAATCTGGGCAAATAAAATAATTCTTTTTGATTGCTTTCCAATGAGATTCTACTAACATTATAGTTTTGAAAAATACAAATTTTTTCTGGATCTGCTTTTATGCCCATAATACTTATAAATTAAATTTATACCAATTATACCACATGTAATAAGTCCAAATATATTTTAAGTCATTTTTATAATAAAAGTTATATATTTTTTTTATTGATAATTTCCAAATATCTTCACTTAATAAGAATTCTCCACTTCCAATAGGAATGAATGAATGTAAATAAAATACTTAGTAAACAACTCTAAAATTTTTACCTGTAAAGTTTTAGGATAAAAAATAAATGGTAAATTAAATGGTAGTATAATAGGAATCCATAGAATATCAATAAAAGAAAATTGTAAATTGGCTTCAATAGGATTATAAGTATTATATTTTGACTCTGAATCTGCTAATTTTTTTTTTAATTGATTTTTTTGCATGTCAAAGATAAAATTGAATTTTACAATTACTTTACACAATTTTAGCAGTATTGATTTAAGACTAGTTTTTATTTATTAATAAATTGCAAACCAAGTTTTTTTAAATCAGTTTAAGAATGCAATTAATATTTTAATTATAACTCCTTCATTCTTTTTGGCATTATCAAGATACAGATATGCAGCTGCAAACCCAGTACCATTTATTGTATCAATAAGAATTTCTTGATTATGAATAAATTTATTAAAAAATGGTGTAATAAATATCAAATATTTAACATTTCCAACAATATTTTACATTATTATCTCCTTATTGCTTTCTTTTAATAATAATAAACTTGATTTTAATTGATCTAAATCTTTTTGATATTATTTTTTAATTAGTGTAGTCTACCAATAATGACATTATTTTTGTGTTAAATTTGGATTATTAATCTCTAATTGATTAAAAATTTCAGCAGAAGTTTGATGAAGTCTATTATCTATAAAATTACTGATTTCTTGATTTACACTGATTCTTTCTAATTTATTATGGATTAAATCATGATAAATTTGAATATTAGCTGTTTTTGAATTAATATCTATTGCAATTTTAAGTATTCCATTACAATCATATCTAATAATAGGTAATTTATCATGTTAGGATCTTGAACAATATATATATACCGTATATAGCGGACTACAGTATCCTAGATATCTTGCAAAAATTGGGAGTTTGACTCTGTACCTCTAGGTACTAAATAAAACCTAAAAATTCTGTTTTTGCAAATATCTTACAATCTACCTGTCCAATTTGAACGATTTTTTTTTATTTTGAAGTGCTCAATGAAATCTATCAAACAAAAAAAGATGGCTCAAATCTAATCACTGGATCACGAGATAATTGTAAAATATCTCCCTAAGTATTATACAATTCTATAAAAATTTTTAAGAAGAATATTATACATAGGAGGGGTATTATGGCCCATGATATATAGTAAGTCAGATGAAAATTTCAAAATTTACTAAGATCACCCTATAAAAAGTATTATACTTAAAATATATTTAAAATATATTTAAAATATACTTAATTTAAAAATTGCAAAATACTTAAAATATATTTTTAATATATCTAAAATATACTTAAAATTATCTTAAAACATATGTCTAATATATTTAATTTTTGCCCATATACTTAAAATATATTTAAATTATATTTAAATTAAAATTTAAGTATATTATAAGACTATTATAAGTATATTTTTTATGTATTTAAAATATACTTAAAATATATTATAAAATATATTATAAGTATATTTTAAGTATGTAAAAAATATATCTATAATATACTTAAATTTTGATTTAAGTATAATTTAAGTATATTTTAAGTATTTTGGCAAAAATTAAATATATTAGAAATATATTTTAAAATAATTTTAAATACATTTTAAATATATTATAAGTATTTCGCAATTTTTAAATTAAATATATTTTAAGTATAATTTAAATATATTTTAAAAAGTTTTTAATTATATTTTAAAAATAAATACTTTTTATAGGGTCAATAAGCAAATTATTTTCATTCTGCTAAGCAAACTCAAATTGTAACATTAAAATTTTTTGCACTATTAAGCAATTTATTTTGTGATTATAAAATGAAAAAAAATTCTTAACAAATTGATATTATTGTATTATATCTCTATAAAAAAAATTTTACTTAAAATATATTTAAAATATATTTAATTTTCTTTAAAATATACTTAATTTTCTTATTTTATACTTAAAATATACTGAAAATTAAATTTTTGCAAAATTTGAATTAAATTGTATTTAATATATACTTAAAATATATTTAATTTACATTTAAATTTTGCTCATTTTAGTATATTTTAAGGATATTTAAAATAAGAATATTTTAAGTATATTATTATATACTTAAATTATACTTAAATGATATTTAATTTTTGCCTATTTCAGTATCATATTTTAAGTATAAAATAAAATTTTAAGTTTATTTTAAGTATATTTTAGCAAAAATATTTTTATAGGGTATTAATAATGCTATTTTTAATAGTATTATAGTTAAAATAATTAAAAATTTCACGTGTTACTCCTGTTGAAGTTAGTGAACTATTACCAATTATTACTCCATTTGAATTAATATGATATATAATATTTTGAGAACAATGATAAGTAAATAGCGTATAACTTTTCACAGTTTGACTTGCAAAAATATTAAGATGAATAAGTAAATATATTTATAATAAAATATAAGACAAATCTTCAATTTGAGTTACTGCATCTTGGCTATAACAATAGTCACTATGATAACCTTTATAATACATTACTATTATTTTAGCAATACAAATTTTTATCCTATATAATACAATTATATAATCACTTTATCATAATGGAAAATTTTGAGTAATATTTATCAATTCAATACATACAACTAAATTAAATAACAATTATTAATATTAAAAATTATATAATAAATTATATAATTAACATTATATTTACTTTTATTTATAACTTTATCAGTTTGTCTTTGCCTTGATAATTCAAATTTATGTAAACTTGCAAGATTAGCTGTCATTACCTTCCAATTTCTTTTCACCATTTTTCACATTATTTTATAAATTGTATTATTGGATCATCATTATTTGTAAAATATAAAATTATATAATTAGCTTTATTTGGATTAATAGTATTTGTTATTTTATGACGAATCATATATGCATGATTTTGTCTTTCAATTAGCTTTGAATTATATGCTTTATGATCCTTCGTGATTTAATCATTATACCCAAATAATTCAGCTCTTCTTTTGATAAAATATATTTAATAGTAAGATATTTTTAATTATGTTAATACTTAATAATGTACTATTAAAAGTTTTGATAATGTAATAATATAATTAAATAAAATTTTATACTATGAATAAGTTGCTCATTATTAATTATTCTTATTTCTTATATTATTTAAAGATGAAATAACTTGAGTTTAATGAATTTGATCATCAAACATTCTTAATATTTGATAAATCAAGAACATCATCAATTCTTTTAGTAATATATTTGGATGTTTGACTAATTACATCAGAAATTTCGATTTCATCATTGAATTATTTTCAAGTTCTAAAGTTGACTTAATTCTGATTGATACTTTCAAATTTTAATTCTTTATCAGTAATAATAAATGATTCATACTTGAAGTAGATTACATATCAAGTACTTTAGCAAGTTCAGATGCCAATTTATAAGAATGTTTAATAATAATATCCTTGTCTGATAATTAAGCACATAATTTTGCTAATTTGTTTGAATTAATATTTCTGATATTATAGTTAAAATGATAACCTATTTGAAAGAAATATAAAGGAAGGAAGATTTATAATCAGTTAACTAATAGTAATTTTCACTTTTTTCATTAAAACTAAATAAATGATAATTAATAATTACAACAATAATGATAAAAGTATATTTGCTTACTATCATGAACTAATTTTTCTTTTTCCAATGTAATATTTTTTGTTCTTAAAGTTTTGGCATATTGAGAAATTTTTGTAACAATTCTGAATAATTAAAATCAGAATTAATTTGACGTGTTATATTAAAAGAGGATGATGAAAATAAGTACAGTATGAAATCCTATATATGTATATATGGTAACTTATGTATGAATATATGGTGGCCTATGTATAATATATTACTATTGTGATAACTATACCGTATAAAAATTAACACTATACATACCATACATTGACCACCATACATATATATATAGGATTCCATACTGTACTTATTTTCTATATGATTTGTCAAAAAAGTGTTTACAAACCTTTGATCCATACATCTATGATAAAAATAGATAATTTAAATAATATTTCTGATGTGCTTTTACCAACAAAATTATAGATTCTGCAA